GTGTGAATAGGATTAGTAAATAGTAAATGTATATGGTACTCCGTTATGATTTAATGAATAATAAAAGGATTTAATGAGAAGGATTAAAGCTTAACACTTGACACCTTTATTGTAATATCTTTCATATGAATTAACGGATTTGAACTGTTGTACAACAGGGAAAAAATCTGTGATTTGGAGACAGAAAAGAGGGAGCTGGTTGGTGTCTTTGGAAGAACAGGGGCTGGAAAAAGCTCTTTGATAAATGCTGTCGTCGGAGAGAAGGATCTCTTGCCCTCAGGAAGTGTCAGTGCTTGTACAACAGTCATCATTAAGGTGGAGGCTAACAAGCAGAACCAGAACTATGAGGCAGAGATTGAATTCATCACAAAAGAGGTAAAATAAGATGAACATAATGTATCCTTTAATCCCTAGTCTTTAAAAAGGATGTTGAATGCATTGCTTCATCCATTTACAGTATTTGATTCGTTCGATTAGTTAAAGGATGATTATTTTCTTTTTTAGGAATTGAAGCAGGAGTTGTGGTACTTGTTAACTTTCATCCTGAATGATGAAGACTGCAAAGAGGAAGATGTCGATGATTACAATGACGCTGTTGAAATGCTGTCAGCGCTGTATGGAGAAGAATGGGAAAAAAACCCTTCTGTGGAACATCTCATGAACGACAAACATTTCAGAGAAATCCCAGAATTTATTGTTTCTACGAAGAAAACCTTGACCTGTGAATCAGTAAGAAAGAGAATAAATCTACAGTATCATTTATATTTGAATTTGAATTTATATATGTAATGGGGTCAATGCAATTTAACAGTTTCAATACATGAAACTGATGTGCTACATAAAGAGTATATTGCTAATTTCCAACATGTGTCCCTAATTGGGCCTTTGGGTAAACAAACAGAGTAAAAATGTACAACATTCAATAACATAAAACCCCATAACACTATATGAGGATACATTAAAATACATGCACTATATGACAATACAAAATGCTATAAACCGGTTTAAGATACAATTTAAAAGTGGGTACAGCTCTGGTTTGCTTTCAGCCAGCATTTCACCTTTTTTGTTAAAGATTTGAAGTCTGAGAATTTTAATTCCGGTATACAAGTACATATCCAAAATTACTTAACAGAAAGCTATCTTGTTTTGAAATGTATAACATTTCCATCTCAGACATAAAGTGATGTCTGCAATTTACATACTTCCTGGTCGTTCAAGTTTGGTTTAATTTTGGGGTAGTTTAGAAAATGTTATAGTAAATTCAGTACCTAAAAATGGATTTAAAGAGAGAATGGACTTGATCCTCAATGTCTGCAGCTCTATATCAAATGTTCCCTTAACAGCAAAGTCCTGTCATGTTACCTTCATAGATGGTCTGTGTAACTGTAAATCCTTAATCTTATTTTTCTTTTGTCAGGCTAAAAAGTTGTCTGCAGAACTTGTCAAATACACAAGAAGCAGATCAAAGTATGGAATGGCTAAAAGCATAAAGAAATGGTTTTGGCCCCTGGTGAAGTGTGTGACAATCAGGGTGCCAAATAATGACCTTCTCCAGAATGTCACACTTGTGGATCTACCTGGAAATGGGGACCGCAACAAGGGCAGAGATAAAATGTGGAAAGGGGTAAAACATTAAAATGCATCACTTTGTTTATATTGTTTTAAGTTTAACATTATTTTATTACAAAGCACTGATATTGACTCCATTGAAATACATTGCATAACCCTTCTTTGATATTGACTGATATTCACGATTAACTTGGATTTCATCCTTGTAGGTGATTCAAAGCTGTTCCACTGTGTGGATCGTGACGGACATTAACAGAGCAGGATCAGAGAAAGAACCATGGGAGATTCTGAAAAGTGCCAGCAGCCTTATGGGAAATGGTGGCCAGTGTCAGCACATTCACTTCATCTGCACCAAGTCTGATGTTATCGAAGACTCTGATGATTCGTAAGTGATTTTTATCCATAGAGGAAGACGCTGACGAGTATCAGGGTCTACTGCGATGTATTTATTATATATATTTAAACTATGTGTACTTTGTTCATATATGTCATTTTTTAAACTTTTATCCTGAGAGGAAAGAAAACCACGTCATATTAAAGATGTTGGAGATTGAATTTTCAAGGCTTCAGATAATGTATGAGGTTCAGCTTGATACTGATCTCTTCTTACAGTTCAGTAGCTGGCGTTCGTGCTGCCATATTTAAGAGGAACATCCGGGCCAAGGAGGAAGTGAAGAGAGAATTTGGGAAACTAAAGGGGGTTCAGGTGAGTTTTGAAATGTCAGAAAATCTAAAATGAAGATGTCTTTTCAATGCAATACCACCCTAAACGTATTCATTATTTTTGCAGACACATTTCAGTGGTGACTGTTTCAAAGTGTTCACAGTGAGCTCCAACGAGTTCCTTAAGGAGAAAAGGCTTGGACCAGATGAAACTGGTAGGTGAAGGTCATGCATAACTTTGTGAATAAAAGAATATCTGTTACATGTGAGAAGTTTCTCTGGATGTAATGATGTAAGCTCTATATTGTATGGTTTTTTTATAGAAATCCCCAAACTTCAGGAATTTCTGCAAGAACTGAATGACTTTCACTCAGTCACACTGAAGTATGTGTCAGGAGCGTATGGGATCCTTTCCCTTATTCAAGGTGCCGGCTGTGGAGATGTGGTAAGATCAAATAACACTTTAACTGCATTTAGTTTTAGTTTTGGCAGCCAATAATCACAATCTGAGCCAAAAAGGTACCTTAAAATCCAGTATTAGGACCACTCTAAATATTTTTAAATTGTGTATGTTTCTTATCCCTATATAAACTCCTCAAAAAAAGATTTCTAAAATATCCAAAACTAACCTAAATGAAAATAAGTTTTAGGTTCAACACCAGTTTTTACCTGCAATAATATAAGTCTGATTGATTGGCCTTTTAACTGAATATACAATATTTGAACTAACATGCTGACGTCTGCATCAATTTTCTCCAGCGCCACTTCTCTCTCCTCTGCTGCAGCAGCAGAACTACAGAATGCTATCAAGCACATGGCTAACAAAATCATATTTGAAAAGTTGTACACCCATAAAAATATAATATTTTACATATAACCCAAAAAAGTTTACTTAATTGAAGAGATTATGTGTTCAGTAGTGACCATTTTAAAGTTACACACTGATTTTTAAACATTGGACCACACTTATTTCAAACTAATGGGATATAGCTGCTTAATATGCAGCCGTGAGGGACAGGGATGTAGTGTCACTTCCTGCCAGGGGTGTGGCTTTAAGTGTTGAAGGTTACATGAAAACTTCATCTAAAAAATTCACCACGTCATATGTGATAGATATCCCAGTGTAAAATATTGAGGCATGCACCGTCAGTACCGTGAGTGCTGCCCTCAACATCACACACAGCATGCGACATGACGCATTTAAAAATTTGCTGCCATTCATTAATGTAAGCTGTGGTTAGGAACATAGCACCACCACTTCACATATTTTCTCCATCATGAGGTCATGATGGTGCATTAAAAGCATACGGTGGTAAACAGGTCAGTAAATACAGCTGTTGGAGTGCTGGTTTGGAAGAAAGAATCTACAATTAAAGTCAACAAGTGAGCAGAGCAGGTGGGCAGCACGACTCAAGGGACGAGGGTCTTTACACCACAACTTTCACCGTAGGCTAAGAGCTCAAACACCATACTGTAGTTTGTAGGAGTGTAAACTCCACAAAGTGAAAACAGATGGTACTAAAAAAGCAACACAGGAGAAAAGAAATTGCACATTGTAGACTTGGTTAAAGTTCTTTTTTTTCTAAAATATCGAGATTGGAGTTGTACATTTACAAGAATAAAGCTGTGAATTTATGATATTCAATCTGTAAACCAATTTAAATTAGGCTATGGTGGAAATTTTTATTCTGAAAGGATACATCAAGTCTTAAAATTCCAAAAAAAAAAGGTAGAGGACCCAATAGCAGTCTAACAAAAATAAATAAAACAAAAAGGAAGAATAAAAACTTACTTTATTAAATGTCCAAAGAAAATCCACAAAAGGCAAAACAAATCACAATGAGAAAAACTGAGACGAAGGCAGGTTGCACAAAGCACAGACACATAGATAGGTTAGACACCTGACAATGAACTGACAACAAGAGGAAAGGAACTTTGAGACTAAATACACAGGGGTAATCAAACACAGGTGAGACTAACAACACAGGTGAAGACAATCAGGGCAATCAAAATGGAGGGAAACCAGATAAAAGGAAAGAAGAAAACTGCAGAAGCCACTGATGAACAGTCTATGGTGGCTTAATAAGACAACATAGGCTGTGATTAGACAAATGCAATGCCATGTCACACCAAACATAGTCTTTGAAGTATTGAGTCTGTGATGATATTTGTATGGTCTTTATTTTACATTTTAGTTTTACTTTCTTTAAGAGTCATTTGTTGCTTGTACCATAAATAACTTTAAATCCAGATCGGGTCACATCTGGATGCAACTTCACACGTGGTTTAGAGCCAGATATCCGTCTATTTTTTAAAAACTTTGACACATTATTTTATGCCTAACATACAGTATAGAGTTGTATTGTTTTAACATTAAATGTTTTCTATTTGGTTTCAGGCTGGCGTAAAAGCAAATGTGTGCAAAGACCTTGAAGAAAACTTGAAATGTGCATTAGATAAAGTCTTTGAGCCCATGATAAAGTCCTATAGGGCTTTTAACAAGTGCCTCATGGAGGGTGTTGAAAAATCCAATAGTTCAAGGGAAAGTGACTTGAAGTCCTTCTTATATCCCGTATGTATTTGAATATTTTACTCCTTCATCCAAACCATCGATTTTTCACTTGATATTCAAAAGTTAATCATTTATGGAAATGTTTGTTTTTGTTTCAGAAAAGAATAAAAGGAAGAGCTTTATACGGGAGATTGAAGAGCATTGTTGCAAACAATGGTGTCTACAAACCAAAAAAAGGGAAACAATACAACCTCAATGAGAAATTAGCTTCAAAGCTGATGGAGAGCATTGATGAGGAATTTAGAAAGACCTTCCCGTAAGAACGTACTAAATGAGGAAAAGATAATACCTCTTCAAATGGCGATTATAATAATAATATAATAATGTGTGCAATGGTTATTTAAAGTAATTAACATAATTGAATACAAGTATCTAAATGAAATTTCTAAATTTAACTTTGTCAGTATTTGATCAATGAAAGATTTACTTGTTAACATGTTTCAGAAATGAATCAAAATGTGAACCGTTCAACGGGGCCATCAGTTCCTTTTCACTCGGCACAGGGACTCTGGTTGAAAAGTACAGAAAGTACAAAGGTGTGCAGCTGCAACTGGAATTTCTCAGGACAGAGGTAAGAGATGGTGATGGTACCATCTTATCCAACAGTTTTGTTTTAAGCTGTTTGTCAAAGTGAAGGAGACTCAAGAACGAGGTGAAAAAATCAATTGAAACACGTTTGTGATTAACGTACTTAATGAAGAAAAAACATTTAAGAAAGAAACCAAATAAAAGATCTTTTTTTTTGCGTTTATTGTTGATATTCATTTCTTATGTAGAACACCATCAATAAGGTACATGTTAGCGATGCAGATATACATGTTTTTGTTTTTAACCTTCTGTTGTAGGAAGAAAAAATTAAGGCAAAACTCGACAAAACCATCCGGGAGCGAAAGAAAGAAATCTACAGCAGCCTGACGACTTCAATCGAGGAAAACATGCAGAAGTGCTATGAAGGTAAGAAAGAAGATCTTGGCATATGAAACCTGACACTTAATCAAATACATGTAATTAATGTGCATTTAAAACCATTTTCTGATTCACTGTAGATGCACAGCAATGTAAAGGCAAAGGCTCCTTGAATGCCATGAGGGTCGTCATTGAGCAGCATGTTCGTGCCAAGGTCGACATGTTCAAGGAGGCTAAAACTGTGATGATGTTAAATCTGACAGAACTAATGGTTTGTAATGGTTCATAATTCAACATACAATACCTTATATGATTGTTATATAGTAAAACACGTTGTGTTGCACATCTCAATCTTTGTGTATGATTCTATATTATTATTCACATCAAGTCTTTTCTTCATTGAAATAGAATGTACATCATTCTCAAGATAGTTTTTGTGACTGCGGTTTTACAAAAAAGCAACTTTTTATAAAAAATGAAAACAAACACACAAAAGCTTTTTTTCTATTTAAGACTTTTCTGCTTTCTGAGCAGCCCAGAAAAAACATACATTTAAACTGTTAATGTATCATCCAGTAAATCCTAAAGAAAAGTGTGCTGGTTAACACAGTGTTAAATATTTTAAATCTTATTTAGGAGGTCATCCAGAAGATACTGATGGAAACACTTCTGAGGTCAATGGACCTATCACTCAATACAGATGATCAATCCGTTCCAGGTAAAGTGAATGTTAACAAGTACATTTGTTTACAGACAAAACACCAGTGAAGCGATTACAACTTTGCATGTCAAAGTGGTTTGATTCTGATTAAATGCTTGATAGATGTAAACTATGAAGTTGGAAGAACTAATCAAAACTGTTTTTATTTGGGTCTAAAAATATTGCACAAGTAATCCTAGTTTATGTGGATATATCCTGTCATTTTTATAGCACTGATGATAACTGGTGAGAGGAAGTTACAGGAACATTATGCAGATTAGAGTGTGCTCTTGAACAACATAGTTAAAGCAACAAGATGTGACTTTTCCACCTTTAAACAGAAGTGTCAAAGGTCGATTTAATAGCAGAATAACTTTCAACAGGGAAAAAGACGTCTCTGCCCCGACCGCCTGTTTTCTGCAGTATGTAACTTTGGCAGTTGGCCAAGGTCATCTCATGAAGAGTGTGTACGGCTGTTTGGAGACTAGTTCACACAAAAGCCTTCAGTTACTGTATAAATAGAAACCAGTTAGTCGTCTCTGCGCGGTTATGCAAATTCACAGAGTCTAGAAAGGGTTAGGAGTAACATGGGTGACAGTTGCACTCAGGGACCTTCTGTGGGTGCCAAAGTGCACCAAACTGAAATATTGTTGCTTTAACACAGAAAGTGCACACCAAAGTGCAAAGACATTTTCTTCCGAGTTTAAAGTTTAACTTTTTGTGTTTGAGATGTCAAAGAGGAGCTTGAGACCGTGACAAAAAAATACAAAGCACTGAAGAAAAACACACATGAAGGAACATCACCAGTTAGGTAAAACTTTGTTTTTAAAGTAGATAATGCTCTGATTTTAAACTGTAAGAAATTGCTTCACTTATTTTTATAACAGTTGCTAACAATGCTTCTATTCACACTAGTGCTGATCAACCCGGCCCGTCATCTGCACAGGTAAGTTTAAGTAAAAGTGATGATTAAAAGTTAACATTCTGGTACACAATGAAATGGTAATATGAAAGTTATCAGTAGAATATCACAACCTTTGTGTTTAACTCTCTTGTGGATATTTCAGGTTTAGATGCAGAGAAACAGCTGAGGCCTGTTTAACCACTGAGGATCCCACAGGGAACATTGAAAAGTCAAACGAGGCTTCTAGATATCAATCAATCAAGCAAGATTTATTCATATAGCACCTTTCATACAAAGTCAAAGTGCTTTACAGCGACTGAAAAACAAAAATAAACATAAAATAGTGACAAAACAGGGTAGAAATAAAAATGGATTTAGAAGTAGAGAAGTAGAGACTAATGCACACCAATAGGAATAAAAATAGTTAAGTTAAAACTGAAAAGATTATCAAAAATATAGTTGAGATAATAAGAGGGTAAAGATTGCCTTATAGACAGTTAAAATAATTTTCAAAATTAATATGAAACCTCACAGGCAGCCTGTGTAAAGATTTTAAAATTGGTGTATTGTGTGCTCTCCTTCAGGTCTTTGTTAGCACTCGTGCTGCCGCGTTTTGAATTAAAACGTACATGTGGCTTTAAATTAAAATCAGAATCAAGTAAAACAGATACCAGAACAAATATTTATTATTTTCTCCCTGAAGTAGCCAGCAAACTTTTGACATTTAGAACCTGGAAGCTGAGCACTGTGGTTAACTGTGGGATTGAAAAGTGAATCACTGGTACTGATTTAGTCTCAACCTTTTTGTCAGGTTGTTATTTCTGCTCTCTTTGAGTGGTGTGTTTAGATGTTTGTTGTGAGTTTCATACATACAGATGTCATATTAGTGACAGTTTTCCTTTTGATTAATTGTGGGAAATGGCTAAAGGTGGGGGGGGGTGTTGTGTTTTTCATGTTAATCGTTTCTTTTTTGGGCCTTTTCGCCTTTATTAGATCGGACAGCTGAAGAGAGACAGGAAACGGGAGGAGAGAGTGGGGGGATGACATGCAGCAAAAGGCCGAGGTCAGATTCAGTCCCACAACTGCTGCTTAGGAATGTAATCGCTGTACATGGGGCGTGACATAACCGTTATTTGTTTCTACCATTCTTTCAGCAAGACATCAACTTCTGCAATAATTCAGCTTTTTGTTATTCTTGAATATGTGTTAACGATTGTTTGTTAGTGTTTTTATTTCATGAATTTAGAAGTGGATGATTTGATGTACCTGCTACAGTTTCACTGATTATTACGGTGTCAAATTAAATCTAATAAAACTTTAATCTGTGTAATGATATATTAGAAATAAGAGTTAATTTTATTATCAGACCAACTTTTCTGGCTTCCTGATATGAACTGTACAATGTTTGTTTTGTTTTTAAGTCTTCATTGTTTATAAATGCAATATGGCACATCATGCAATAAAACTCCTGATTAAAATGTTGTTGCCTTTTTGTCTTTATTGTGAATTTGGTATGAAAGTCCTGCAGCTGCCCAAAAGATTTCCATTCAACCCAAACGTGCTGTAAATACACAGAAGCTGTCATTTAAGAGACACAAACCTAGAAAACAAACTACTGCATACAACAGCTCACCTCTTTCAAGCAGAGAACTGTCATCATGATAATATCTGTCTCTCCATACTGTAATCTGTTCTGCACATGTCAAATTTACAAATGATCCCTACACTCATGTTCACTTCATTTGGCTGTCTACTCACCGTTATATTGTATAGTTTCTGCTGATGATATGTATACACTCATGCACTTTTACTTATGTCAATACTGTCCATTTACAACTCTGTTTTTGCACATTTACATTTAATCTTTCATATTAAATTTACAACCATTTATGACTCTGTTTTTGCACATTTACATTTAATCTTCCATATTTAATCTTCCTATTTAAGACTAGTAATGCTTAGTTAAATCCTGGTTGTATATATTCACATTCTTAGTTTTGATATTTTTAGTACTTATTTACTTTGTATTTAATATTATATTATGTTCAGATTTGCTAACATTGTGTTTTTTACTCATATTGTGTGTTTGGATAACCTGCTGCTGTAACGCCACAATTTCCCAGTTTGGGATCAATAAAGTAATTCTAATCTATTCTATTCTATTCTATTCTATTCTATTCTATTCTATTCTAATCTATTCTATTCTATTCTATTCTATTGTGTGTTTTTGACTTTGCATCATTTGTGTATTTGCTGAATGTTTACTTTTAATGTATTCATTTCTGCTTTTTGCAGCATGTTCATTTCTTTTGCAGCACCACGTCTCCTTTGTATTTGTTAGACATTTATTTTCCAGTTGCATCCAGATTTTGCTGCCTGTTTTGTCCTTAAGTCAATATTTTCAACCTTAGCAGCTTGTTCGTACATCGTATTAAAGTTAGTGAATGTTTTCCCTGACATCAGTTTCTGTTCTGACAAAAAACTGATGTTCCAATCAAGTTACCAGACCAAAATCTGTAAGCATAACCCAAACTCTTAAAGTAACCTTCACTGCATACTTAGTGTTTGTTGCTCATGAAGTCGTAGCATTCACATTGTAACTTTGTAATAATACAGTTTCCTGACATCATGCAACCACACACAAACCTACAGCAGTAAAACACCCTGTGTGTAGAAGGTGGCTCACCTTATATGCCTGACGTTATGTTGTAGCATTCTTTAAGCATAAGTTTGACTTCTGGGTGTGTTGTATAGTAAATAAACTGCTGTTCATAAAACCAGCAATTAACAAATGTGCTCACACACAAATGTCAAACACTACAATTTTTTCCATTGATTCGTTAAGATAAATCATCTTCTACACACATCAGAGTGGCATATGCCCTTGGTTTTAGTTAATAATGGCATTGTTTGTTTTATACAATAGTTGTGTTACCTTTCATACAACCCAACAACTGCACTGAGGCAGAAACTGACAGTCTGCTTTGTGGACATACAGGTGTGGTTCTTCATAACATCTCAGGGCGTGTCCAAGGCTCTGTCTGTTCTGAGTTTGTTGAAATTAGATTTTACATACCGACTTCAAATATTAGATATCACACTTAGATGAAAAATAGGTGTTTTGGTAAGAATTAGTGTGTAAAGGCTTATGATGTAGGGATGTTTAAAGAAATTTGTCGGGCGGACACTCTGAGAACTGCAGGATTTTGTTCTTCCGCATTAGCTTCACTTTTCAACACCAGAGGTTGCTGCTTGGGATCCACTGATTAATTTTATTTTTTCTATCTTGTATTAATGTGTGCATAAGGTTCGTTTGTGTGTCAAACACTATTGGTTACTGCAGGACTGAAATTCATTTTGTTTTACTTAGCAGTTTATAGCAACAGAAAACCTAAAACTGTGATCTGTAACCCAACATTATTGTATTTAGGTATAAACTGTGCTGCAATCAACTTTTAGAAATATGATAAACAACCCATTGATTTCTGTTCTTTGACCAACAGCTTGACACATTATTTTTCTTTCTCCTGCCAACAGGTTTGATTCTATTCATACAACTGTGACACGTCTACTTATAAACCCATTGTTCTGCTGTTTTCTCTCAATATAAACTCAAGTCATAGCTGAGCCAAGCAGGGTTTGTTATAGCACAAGGTCCAGAACATAAAACACTGTGACTTATGTTGATATTACTGAGTGTGACTTTAAAAGAAAAAACGACCCATTGTGTCTTCAGAGTTCCAGCTTTACAGTGCAAGTATCAAAACCAACCAGTAAGAGTTACCAGTGTATATCCCTCACACATGCCTGTTATCTTATTATTGAATTAGGCATTTTGTCCATCACTTTTATCTGATAGCTGCAGAACACAGCAACGGCTCCAGAGGAGAAATATGGAGAAGGAGTAAGAAATACATAATTTATTGTAAGTGTCTGACAACAAGCTAGAAAAGCAAAATAAATTGGTAGTGATTGAAGAAAAAATGTTTTTCAACTTGCAGCATGTGATTGTGAACAAGTTCATGAGAAAGTGAAAGAGCTGATAGCATGGAGGCGGAGCAGACACAGAGGGCTTGTGAACTTAAAGAACCTTGAATGAAACATCGCTTCCATTTACAGGAAGAGGAACATTGGTCATGATTTAAGTATCAGGTCACGTAACCTCTAGTGTATTTACCAAGACTGAGGTGGTGGAGGTTTAATGACTGCTTGAGACTGTTTCATTTTTATACTTAATCTGTGGAGCTTTTTGGACTTTTACCATTTTTACTTTCATCATCGTCTACAGACTCCAAAGGAATTGTAAGTAAAGCAGTGTTACATAAGATAAGAAAGGAATAGAGATGTAACTAGTTTTACTAACTCTGACTGGACGTTGTATCTTTGATTAATGTTCTGCATAACTTAAACTTCAAAAGCAGCTTCTGGTTATCTATTTCAATTTGCTACATATTTTTGAATAATGTCACAGCCTCCATCTGTCCTTTGATTTAATGAAATTCATATTAACTGTTTGAAATGTGTCAAGTTGTAAATCTGATTCAAATATAATTATTTGATGAACTTGCAGTTTCTAGTCATGGATGATTTTATTCACACATGTCACTGTAAAGTATTACCTTGCTCTCTTGACTGTAGCCGGTAATTTTCCACCAACACTGATATATTTATTCATGTGCTTATAGAAACATAGCAGATGTTGTAAACTGGCTTTGCTTACCCAAACTTGTTTTTTTAATGTGTTTCCCTTCCGTGCAAAGCATTAAAAATATAAATTTAAACACTGGCCACACCCTTAACGTCAGGTCGAGTAAGGTGGTGCGTTTCTGCCCTGGCACAATAATCTTAATAAATCCTGTAGTAGGCTATGAGACGTGTCTTTTTTCATATCTTGCAGTGTGTTCATGCTTGAGAATAAAAGCGAAATTAGTGAAATTAGTTTGAGAATAATACTGCGAGTCTGCGGTAACTTCCGTTTTTCAAAATAAGGTGTTCACAATTTAAAAAACAGTTTTCATGGGAAAAAAAAAGAAAAAAAAACATGTTTTACACCATGATTCTGATATGGTTGTACTTAGTACTTCCTAGACTATATGCTTGCAGTACTATGAAGTACTTCTACTCAGTACTTTTTGAGAAATCCACTGTCAAAGTCCCTTATAAATCACTTTAATGAGTCTTTTTTTATGAATTTAATGTTTTGTAAAAACAAATTCTTCCATAAGTACACAATGAGTCTGATATGGTTGGACTTAGTACTTCTTAGACCACATGTACAGGTACTATGAAGTTTTTTTACTGTGTGCTTTCTGAGAAATCCGCTGTCAAGCTCCCTTACACAGCACAGCTCTCTGCAGTGTTTTGAAGGTGACAGTAACAATTTGGTACGCTCTGTCACAGCTACATGTTGCACTTTTAATATTTTGCAATACACACACATACAAGCATGTTTCAAATATTAATAATCTGTCATGAATAAAAAATGACTATTATTATTGACATTTTTTTTTTTACATTTATTTTAAACATTAACATTTTCGTAGAGCATACATATGAAATTACAAAGACTATGAACACTAACAACTACATCTGTCTTTTTTCTTCAAATTTGAACCAA